GTTTAGAGCATGATCCCCGGAGCTAGTTGCCTTAGGTTCAAATCTCAGCCCTGCCTCAAATTAGCTAGTGAGGCGTTAGGCAAGTTACTTATCCTGGGACTCGGTTTCTCTATTTGTAAAAATAAGGGAACGATAGAGTCTATTTATAGGGCTGTGGAGGGTTAAATAAGTTCATGCATTAAAATGCTCTTAGAGTAGGGCTTGGCACAAGGTGAGTTAACTCTCATCGTTATAGTCTCAGACACAACGTGCTCCCTTGAGAGTCTTTCAAACTCCCGTGTCTACCTGTCAAAATCAGTTATTTCTTTGCTCACTGGGTCCCTGGGAATGCAGATGGGGGTGGGGGGCACTTGGTATTGGAAGTGTGACAAGGGTCAGACTTCCCACCTTAGAACACGGGGGTGGCAAGGTTCTAGGGGTATCCGTAGTACTTGGAGGGGGCTGGTTGGACTGGAGTGTACGAAGGGGTGAAGAGGGGGGCAGGCCAGGCTGCGAACCGGGAGGGACAGCTCTGATGTGGTCCAGGTGGGGCGATGGGACTCACACTGCACGTTCAGCTGCACCTGGGCCTCGCGGGGGCGCACGTTGAAGCCATTATACCGTGCCGTCTGGCAGCGGTAGGTCCCACTCATGTCGCGGCTCACGTGCTCCAGCCGCAGCTTCCCGTCCGGAGTCTCCTCCAGGGGCAGCCCCGAGGGCAGCAGCGCTGCCTCCTTGTCCACGCGGGACCAGAGCACCGGCGGCCGCGGCTTGCCTCGAACCTCACACTGCAGCTCAGCGGGCGAGCCCTCCCGCACTGTCACCACGGCCCTGCCCTTGGGCACGCTGATGGTGGGCGGCACTGCGGTGGGGAAGCGGGTAGGAGCAAGGTTAGAGCTCCCCGCTAGCCTCTGCCGTGAGGCTTCTGCTCCCCTCCCCCTAGGAGCCTCCCTCGCGCATCCCAGATGTCCCAAAGATCCCTCAGCATCTCCAAAGCACAACTCGCCTCCCCCCATTCTCCCCACCTCCTGCACCCCTGAGGGTCTCCCAACTCAGAAAAAGGGCTGAAGTCATCTGGCCTATTCCTTCTTTCCCTTTACCCCAACAAAAGGGGGTTCCACTTTTAAACAGTTCTACCAAAGGATGCCTTCCCTCAACCCCCTCTCTCCTGCCCACTGGCCCTGCTCTAATTAAAGCTTCCATCTTGTCTTCTGGAGTGCTATTACAGATCGCTAGTCGGTCCTCCAACATCCTTACCCCTCCTCCCAAAGTAATAGAATGTCTGGAGTTTAGCAGGGCACACAGCCAGAATAACCATGATGTCCCCTAGCCTGCTAGCTGTGGCCATGTGACCAAATTCTGGCTAATGGGATGTGACAGAAAATAAGGTTCTTCACAGGGAGAGGCTGTGCCCCTCTTCCCTTCCTTCTCCTTGGAGGCTGGAATGCAGATTGATGGCTGCAGCTGGGACTGCCATTGTGGACAAGGCGGTGCACGCTAAGGGTAACAAGACAAGATGGAGCCTGGGGCCCTGAGGATCTGGTGGAGCAGAGCCATTATTCCAGCCCAGACTGCTCACTTTTACCAGAAAAAATAGTACACATCTACCTCGTTTAAGCCACTAGTAGCATTTCGGGATTTTCTGTTATTCACCGCCAAACCTAATCCAACCCAACACATCACCCAACTGGAGAGTCTTTTAAAGACTTCCATGGGTCCCATCCCACATGGCATGGACCAAATTAAAATGTCCGACATCAAATATGAATTATAAATAACTCTACAAGGCAAGCTGAGGTCCAGTTATCTAGTTAGCATAATTTATACTCTGTAAACATTTATACATGTGTTGGCTTTAATTTTACAGTTTTCTCTTTGTATTTTGGAGCCAATTAATTTCTTTTTCCGGGTCTGAATCATTGCCACAAGCCCTTAAAAAGCTTCTGTGCCGTAGGCATCAGGCTGATGAGCCAAATGGAGGAAATGGCCCTGCGCCCCGTTGATTTCCCTGTTTCTAAAACATCCCAGCTCCCCAACCTTCTGTGCCCTCACACGCTAAAGGGCTGTTGTCTCCCCGCTTGGAGGCTGCAGTGCCCTCAGGTTAAAACTCAAACTCCTCGCGTCTGCAAACCCAAGGGTCCTGTTCCCGTCTCTGCCTTTCCCACCTCATCTTCCCTCTCTCGTCCTGTATCCCAGCTATGGGATCCCCTTGTAAGGGATACTCTCCCTGGACACGAAGTCGTCTCCCTGTGCAAAAGTCAGGATTCGAAGGCACCTCCGAGGCCATCTGGTTCAATGTCTCACAGAGGTGAAACGGAGGCCCAGAGAATTAAAGAGGCTTAGTCAAAGTCAGCCAGCTCCTCGGTGCAAGGGGCTAGGGGCTGGAGATAAGATTCTAGAAACTCTCTCCGAAATTATCCCTTCCAAACTTCCGTCATGCATAAAATGAAAACCCTTCAGGTGTGGCTCTAAAGTCAGACTGCTCGAGTTTGAATCCCAGCTACACCACCTATTGTTTGTTACCTTAGGTAAGTCTCTTAAACTCTCTGAGCCCGTTTCTTCATCTCAAAACTGATGATAAACTATCCCATAAGGTAAACCATGAAGGTAAATGACATCAATATGAAATCATCAGAACACATAGTAAACACTCAATAAATGTTAGTCATTATTTCATTATTCTTATTTATTATTATCGGAATAAAGACCCAAATCCCTGCATGATCTTGCCCCTGCTGGCCCCTCCACTCTCACATCTCACTCCATTCTCCCAGTCGCACTCTCCTTGGGTGCTCCAAATGGCCCATGCGCTTACCTGCCCCAGTGCCTTTGCACATGCTGATTCTTTGGCCTGCCTTTCTCTTCCACCCTCCCTTGTTCTCCTTTGCCTAGTAAAACCTGCCCCTCCCTCAGATCTCAGATCAAACATTCTGAGGAAACTCATTCCTGACTCTCACGTATCACTGTTTGCAGTCATATATTTATCTGTGAGACTATCTGAACAACGTTTGCCTTCCCACTTAGTTCAATGTAAGCAGAGCTTATCTGCCCACCACTCTACCCCCGAGCCTAGCACAATGCCTGGCATATAATAGGTGCTTAATAAATGTGTGCAACGTGAACAAATGGTGTTCCCCTCACTGTGGCCTCCTTTTTTCAAGCTACTGTCCCCACCTCCCCTCTGTGGGCCTCTCCAGCTCCCTCACACACACACCCCATGCTGCTTCAGCTGCCCACCTGTCTCAGAGGAGATGTTGACCTCGACGCTCAGGTCAGGCACTGGTGCCCCTGGGAAGGAGGCCACGCAGAGGTAGGTGCCATAGTCACTGAAGTGCAGGTCAATGAGCTCTAGGCTGCTGGTGACGGCAGGCAACTCAGGGTCGTTTCGGGTCACCAGCAGCCTCTTGGACATGCGTGCCGGCTTGCCATTCTTGAACCACTGGTAAGTCACCTTCTCCTGGGGCACCGCATCCACATGGCATGACAGCTTCAGGTCTTGGCCCAGCTGTATGTTCTCACTCTCTTTGATCACATCTGGGGTGATCTGGAACGTAGCATTCTTCATGGCTACAGGTGGATGGGGAGGGAAGGGTGGCTGGGGCTGGCCCAAAGCCAAGGCTCTTTGTCCCACCCCCATCCAGACCCAGCTTCTCTCCTTGAACCAGCCCTCCCTGCAGGCTGGGGGCTACAACCCCATCCCACCCCCAAGAGAAACCATCACTTTACTTGGAAATTACTCTGCTTGTTCAGATGCATTTTGAAAAGTTCAAAAAAGCTGGCTGTAGAAAAGTAGGTTTAGTAATTGTTCTAGCCACTGTTGATTGAACATCCACTATGTGAGAGGCACTGTTCTAAGCCCTTTACATGGGTTGACTCATTTAACCCATCCCACAGTCTTTGAGGGAGGCACTTTCCTGTCCCCATTTTACAAAGGACAGAACTGAGGCTCAGACAGTTTAAGGAACTTGCCCGAAGAAGTAGCCAACCTTGAATTCAGACTCAGCCTACGCTCTTAACGGCTGTGCTGCTTTATTTTTGTTCTTTTCTAAACCTTGAATATGCAAAATACAAATTTTGGAAAGATGTGCCAGAATGTACTAGTACTTCTATCTAAAGAGTGGAACTGAGGGGAAATTTTAATTTGCACATTTTATCCTTTTGTCCTGTTTGATTCTTTGCAATAAGTTTGTGTAATTTTTATAATAAAAGCCTAATATGATAATTTTACATGATGTTACATAAAAACACAGAGTTTAGAAAAATGAAAGGTCTAGCCTTTTTTGAAAAGTCTAAATGTTAAAAAAAAGAAAAAGAAAAAGAAAAACCTGAATATTGTTCTGACGTAGCCAAGAGGTAGACAGCATTCTTAATATTTGGGTGTGGATTCAATAGGACCGTGGTACAATGGCCATGAACCAGGACTGGCCTGTGGCAAAGCAGGCTGTACGTCACCCTAAGAGGTAACCGTAAGTATCTGATGTAAATTGCAATCTCACGAACCCAGGTTTTAAAGGCCCCGAATGTAATTAGGTGGAGAAAAATAATCTGACAGAAGAAGAACCATCAGAGGAAGAAATAGTCATCAGCAACAATCTGGCTACTGTGTTTCTTGCTCTGGTTAAGTAAAAAGTCACTGAGAGCTAGCTTCTTTTTGTGAGAAGAGTCAGAGAGAGACTGGTTGGTGAGGGAAGAACAAAAGGAAAGTCCATTTCATCAGAAGATTCTCCACTGAATTTGACAGAAGCTGTACTTTATTTTCAAGTGCTAAAGAGCTGGAATCAAGCCTAGATCTTTAAAATTTTCAAATAAACAATAAACAAACAACCTAAGGTTACTCCTAAGTCAGAAGAATTTAAAGTTCTCTCTGTAAAGCACATGAGCAAAATCAAGATCATACGGAGCAGCTAATGAGGCTGAAGTTTCATAAGGGAAGTGTTTGTACTTCATTTGCGCCCCCAAGTTTTGTATCATTTTTACATTTACTAATTACCTTCAGACTCACTGACATGCTTTGCTAATAAAGATTTGCATATGAGGTATGTGCAAATGTATGTTACTTTCACTTTAACTCCATTAAAAAGGTAGAAGCCAGGGGTGCCTGGGCGGCTCAGTCAGTTGAGCGTCCGACTTCGGCTCAGGTCATGGTCTCGCGGTTTGTGGGTTCGTGCCCCGCGTCGGGCTCTGTGCTGACGGCTCGGAGCCTGGAGCTTACTTCGGATTCTGTGTTTCCTCCTGTCTCTGCCCCTCCCATGTTCATGCTCTATCTCTCACTGTCTCTCAATAATAAATAAACATTTAAAAAAATAATTAAAAAAATAAAAAGGTAGAAGCCATTGTACGGGAAGAGAGGAAATTTCTCTTGCAGACTGGAATGTCCACATTTAGCTTTTCGCAGCCTCAGTTTCCCAATCTAAAAAAAAATGTAGGTAATCAACGCCAGCCCTTCTCCCTTCTTCCATTGTTGAGATGATATTTGGGAGAGGAGATTATAAATAAAATGTTCTACAAATCGTGGTCCTGCTGCCCGCGGGCAGACACCTGAGTTGCGGGGAAATCACAGTGCCTGGAACACACCTCCTCGGCATATCTCATCCCCGAAAAGGAAGCAGACAGGCCCCTTTCCTAGGTCACTGGCAGTTCCTGGAGGACAGGGACGCTGCCTGCCTCCCGAGTTCCCTCCCACCCCTCTGGACCCACGTACATCGCACCAGCAGGTTGACGGTCTTCTTGGCAGGATTGCCCACGTTGTTGGTGGCTGTGCAGTTGTAGTAGCCAGAGTCCCGGGCCTGCACTGAAGGGATGCTGAGGGTGCCGCTCTGAGCCAGGGCACCCAGGGGCAGCGGGCCCGGCCCGTGGGACCACTGCAGCTGGGGTAAGGGATCACCGCCTGTCAGCAGGCACTGTACCGTCACATTCTCCCCAGGGTTTACCACCAGAGTTTCATTCACAGACAGCTTCAGGGCTGGTGGTGCTAAGAGGACAAGGAGGTGGGGTCTTAGGGGACCATGAGGCAGGGCTGGGGGAGGGGTGGGGTCCAGGGAAACCATGGGGTTGGAGAAGGCCCAGAGGGAGAAGAGAGGGGAGAAGTCAGGGAGCAGGCGTGGGAGAGGAGGGGACGCACTAATGGTGACGTGCCTGGAGTCCTGTGTGGGGTGGGGCACTTTCTCCTGGCTGGGGAGTGAGCCAGGTGGGCAAAGGGCATGGGCAGGGCAGTCCTGTACCCGTGGTGTTGGTGAGCCGGAAGGTGATGGCCTTGTCCGGGATGCCGCACACGTTGCGTACAGACACCTGGCAGGTGTAGCTGGCGTAGTCCTGGGGCCGCAGGTTCTTCAGCTTCAGGACCTTGGTCTCCCCCTAGGGCAGGAGCACACCACTGGGCTGAGGGGCCTGCTTGGGTCTCCGGGGATCCCGCACACATTCACCCAGCACGAGCGGCTGAAGCAAATTCCTATTTTCATTCCTATCTTTCCAACCTCCACACCGTTTATCCCCAGGGAGCCTGAGCCTGGGATGGATACTGCGCTCTCCGTAGCTTGAGCGTCTCTGGATGCGATGTCCTGGTACACACAGCCAGGACCACGCCTCAGCTTTCCCACTCTGGGAAAGGGAGCATAAGGAAGGAATCCTGCCCTGTCTTACAACCTATACAGACATGGGGTTGGCCCACAGGCCACGTCCACATGGGGAGCTTTGACAGCCACCAGGGATAGCCACCTCTGAAAGACTCTGTCCCTGGCAGGACAGATTCATCACCATCTCCCGGGACTGGAGGGGACCCATGGGAAATACAGTCATCTCTCTGTCCCCCAACTCCTGCTGTGCCTGCCCAGGAGCCCCCCACTCCCCCCCCCACCATGTGCACGCAAGGATGACACATCCGCCCCTCGGGGGTGCCTTTTCTAACAAGCGATGTTCCAGGAAGTCACGCTGCCTTGGGGACTCTGCTGTCCTCACCACCGCTCCCTGACCTTTCTGTCCTGATCTCATCTGGCCCAAGTTTTCTGAAGCCCAATCAGAACGCATGCTTCTGAGGTCAGACCAGAATCATTAGAGTCAGGGCAGCCCCTGGAACACCAGATCATGAGGCCTCAGTCCCCACGTTCCCCTCCCTTGCTGGGTGCACAAGGAAGAGTGTGGGGGGAGCCGTGAGGAGACAGGCCAGCTGCCGTCCATCCTGACCTGGGTGTAGAGGGGTTCATAGATGTCGACCCCATTGTCCTGGCTGTGGGACAGGGTGTCGGAGCCCCGCTTCCAGATGAAGCGGGCAGGCGGGTTGGAGTTGACAGTACAGCGCAGGAACACCGTCTTCTCCTGGTAGAAGTTGCCTCGAACGTCGCTCACCGTCTGGTGCACCGTCAGCACAGGCTCATCCAGGTCTGCAAGGACACAGCCCCAGCGAGGTCAGGGCTGGGTGACCCCCACGGTGGGGGGGCTTGGGCTCCTGGCAGCCCCCCAGGAAAGCTAAGCCACCGTCAAGGGATGCCTCCGGAGAGCCAGATGCCGTCCCAGCCCTGCTTGCTTGACCAACGTGTTAGAGGCAGGGGAATGGACTTCATGGCTTCCTAGCTGTCCCTCACAGGAACTGCATGGGGGTGTCTACCTTCACCCTCCCATCATGGGATGGAGGAAGCAGGGCACACTGGAAATCAGGGCACTGTCCAAATCCAAGGTTACCTGTTAATTTGCAGTGTGGCCTGCCTAAGTCCCTTCTCTCTCTGGGCCTCTTTCCTCACTGGTAAACTGGACTCGATTGGTGGTTCTCACCTCTGTTTGCGTGACAGAATCACATGGAGATTTTCTTTTTTAATGCCAAAGCCTGGCAGAGCTCACTGATGGTGTCAGAAGTCACAAGAATGATTGCCTCTAAGGAGATTACTGAACTGGGAGGGAGCATGAGGGAACTGTCGGGGGTCCTGGAAATGCTCTTGAACTGGATGGTGTTTACATAGGCATACACATAAGAATTCGTTGAACTGTACATTTAAGATTAGTGCACTCTAGGGGCGCCTGGGTGGCTCAGTTCGTTAAGCGTCCTACTTCGGCTCAGGTTATGATCTCGCGATTTGTGGGTTCAAGTCCCTCATGGGGCTCTGTGCTGACAGCTTGAAGCCTGCTTTGGATTCTGTGTCTCCCTCTCTCTCTGCCCCTCCCCCACTCACTCTGTCTCTCGCTCTAAAAAACAAATAAACATTTAAAAAAAATATTAGTTAACTCTATTGGATGTAAGTTAATCCTCAATTTAAAAAAAAAAAAAAAAGTTGAAGAAAAAATCCCAGGGCGCCTGTGTGGCTCCGTTGGTTAAGCATCCAATGTTGGCTCAGGTCATGATCTCACAGTCTGTGGGTTCGAGCCCCACGTCAGGCTCTGTGCTGACAGCTCAGAGCCTGGAGCCTGATTCAGATTCTGTGTCTCGCCCCCCACCCCCAACCCCTGCTCTCTCTGCCCCTCCCCCACTTGTGCTCGCTTTCTCTCTTTCTCTCAAAAATAAACTTAAAAAAAAAAAAAAGAAACGAAAACAATCCCGATGCCGGCCCCACCCCCAATTACATCAGAATCTCTGGAAGTGGGACCCAGGCATCAGTATTTTCTTTATAAGATCCCCTAGGAGGGGCCTGGGTGGCTCAATCAGTAAAGTGCCCACCTCTTGATTTGGGCTCAGGTCATGATCTTTGCAGTTCCTGGGATCAAGCCCCATGTCAGGCTCTGTACTGATGGCACAGGGCCTGCCTGGGACTCTCTCCCTCTCTCTCTCCCCTCCCCTGTTCACACACACACACTCTCTCTCAAAATAAATGAATAAACATTAAACCAAAACAAGAGCCCCTAGACATTCTAATGTACAGCCAGGGTTGTGAACCACAGGAATCAACAACCCACAGTCTAACATCCCACAAGAGGCATTCCAACATCCCGTCACTCTTTCCTTGCACAGCCCCCATGGACAGAAGTCATAACAAAGACCATGGGTGGAGGTAAGGTATTGATGACACCTAAGCCATGCCTGCCAGCCCCTTCCAGCACCAATAACTCAAAAAATGATCCTCAGCCCCAGGGTTTGGCAGGCCCTTGGGTGGCTGATGGGAGACAGAAGGGTCTAAGGTTCCAGTGGTCACCACTTGGAGGTCTCACCGGGGGGCGTGAGGCATAGTTAATGGGGAGAATCATTGCAGAAATTAAGATGGTGCCAGAGAGGCCCCTTGGGTTGGCTCTACGGTTTCTGGGTACCTAGGATCAGCCTGGGTGAGCACAGAGGCAGGTGGCAAGCAGTAAAATAGCCTCTTGGGGTTAATGGGGTATCTCCATGGAAGGTAGGTAGGGACTAGGGGCTTCTCATTCAACCAGCAGCAAGGACTGACGGGTGCTTGGTTATGTAGGTGGTGGGGGTAGGGAAGATTCAGAGGTACCCTTGGGACAAAAGCAGAGATATGAGGTCCTGTGGGAAGGGCACTGGACCAGAGTCAAGAGCACCTTTGCAGGTGAACAAGTCACAAACACAAACCCTTGGTACCTCATATCATCTGTGAAAAAGAGTATAATCCAAACTGTCCTGC